ATTTTCCACTTAGTCTTCTTCAATAGCCCTTTTTTTTTATCAGATTAATACAATTCCTTTGGATTTTTTGTACACACTTTAACGTACTTTTCCACTAGAGAAATGCATTCATCGTCCATCCGCCATTTACTACTGTGACGCATTTTCGTAACATCTTCAAAATCTGACTCCATACTAACCGATTTCTTAAGAACGCATTCGTTGTTTGTTTAAGTTTGAACCTTTTTGTTTATTCTGTTTTTAGTATCAATACCATGAAATTTATTTCCTTTGGACATTTTTTTAGCATTAACTCCTCCTTGTTTCTTGTCACCAGATTGTCGTGGTGTAGTGCACATTTTGGTCTTTTCCTCCTTTCGTTTTCGTAGCTCTCCACATATCATAACTGTCTGCATCAGGACACCAGTTATTCTCAGCTGATTCAGTTGTTAAGTTTCATAGTTTTGTAGCGGTATCACAACTCCTCTATCTCATCTGATTTTCCTCAAAGTTAACTTGCCTATCAAACTTAAGATCATAGGCAATCTTTTTGAGGTCATTGATTTCCAGCCGCCATTTTGATCAAACGGACTATTTTTGGTCATGGCTAAATTTTCTATTGAATTCACAACTTTGAAATCATATAATCCAGTTAAAGACTAGTCTGGTTTGCAGGAATTTCGTCAACCTCTCCAGATCACATGCCTCTGTGACAGCTAGGCGTAACTCTAACTTACCAAGATGACCAGATACCAAGAAGTTTCTTTTCCCTTCTCGTTGAATACACGATGACTGACATGGTCTTAGATGTGTAAAATGTTGTGGATCTGGTTTAATTGGGAAAGGCTACTTTTTGTAATTCATAGAAAAACGTTCACCAAACGACTCTAAATATTTGTGTTTCCAGAATTCCGTTGCCACGAATACCTGGTCAAAATAAGGAACATTTTTCGGATATTTGCCTTGTTTACAAAATACCTCAATTGCTCTTTTAAAGACTGGCATGTACTTTACTCGAAATTTTTATTCTCTTTCTTTTCATTCTAGATCTTTGAATGATTTGCCAATGATTTTGGGATTAAGCTTTTTCCAGTTTTATCAAAAGTGAAAGGCTCTGGGTGACGTGTATAGCCGTAATTTAGCTCTAAGTAATAGAGTTTTTTTTAACCATTGTGTGTTTTTTTTATTAAACCAATACTGTTTTTCATCCAACGTCAGTTCTCATTCAATTATTCTTTCGTTCTTCCTTTTAATTTCTTCTTCAATCATATTCAGTTTTTCAATATTTGACTCTTGATCTTGTTATTTCAATGCCGACCTGGAAAAAGGGTAATTTGTTGTATGTAATATTTATATGAGGTTAACCTGTTAGAACGTTAGCTTTCCTTACTTCGATTTTGTTTGGCAATCTATATATTAAGATTTCTCCCCAGCAACTTCTATATTTGTCAATTTTTGTTTGCAAAAATTAACGTCTCAAATACACTTCTGATAAACGAAAGGCGGAAGATACAAAAGGGATATTCAAACACATAAGTCGACGACAAAATGACAACGTCATGGCAAAAAAACGAAAAACGACCAAAAGACAAACAACAGTATACAAAACACAACATAGAAAACTAAAGATTATACAAAACGAACCCCTCACAAATAACGGGGTTACCTCATGTGCTACGGAAAGATAAGCAGTCCTGTTCCACATGTGACACCCGTCGTGTTACTCTTGAAACATTCCAAATGCTTGTTCTCTTAAAAATGCATGTATTGTTTCATACAGTTAACCATTAATGTCATTGCATGCATTTTATATTGAAAATTCATTTGATTTCTATTTTGGCCAATATGCGACTTTTTCAAATGCATGTATCTCAAGAAAAGCACAAGTGCCTATATTTAGCCATCCCAAAAAATGATGCACTATACATCATCTTTTGAAAAATGACGTCAGTTATGAACATTTTGCAACTTTTCTTTGAATGTAAACAGGGAATATCCTTAATCAATACATAATTAATATTATTTCTTTATTTATACCAAACAACGATGGTTTTTGTCATTGTCTGGTCACAAGAAAACATTCATAGTATGCAATGTGATGATTCATGATATCTCTCAAAAATTGACTTGAACCCGGGATGTTCCTTTGGCCCCTTCTTACGGTGTGTATATTTCACATTTTGTTTGTTATGCCCGTGTCTGTAGTCGTGTTTTATATTTCAATGAACGTTACTTCTATATAGGTGATAACTTATTAAGTCAGGGATTTCATGACCACAAATTAGTTAAAACATTTACCAAATTTTTTCATAGATACAAAGATTTGGTTAGGGAGGTCGGATGTGAGTTCTTATCAAAAACGGGATATCACATCCTACTTTATACGGTGATGTTGATAATAAACCCCGTAAATTTAGTAAGATCCATATAAACTAATTATAAAAATAAGAAAATGTGACATGATTGCCAATGAGACAAGTCTCAACCAGAGACCAAATGACATAGAAGTTTACAACTATAGGTCACTGTACGGGCCTTCAACAATGAACAAAACCCATATCGCATAGTCAGCTATTAAAGGCCCCGAAATAATTGATCCTTTGAATACATTGTTCTCAAAGGTTATCAATTTTGCACAGTAGTAAAATCTTAAAATATTGATTTTATTGGTACTAACATTGATTTGGTTTTTGAAAAATTCAAACATATCTAAATATATATTGCTATATATGTGCGTTATGAGAACGCATCATCCTACACCCAGTCGAAACTATTTACTTATTTACTTATATTTTGTTTTTTACAAGGTGATGCTTTTCTCAAACTGTTTATGACGTCTTTACACTAAATCCGTTGGACGTATACTGATTAATACTTAAGTCTGGGAGAACATGATTTATTTATTCGTTGTAATTGGCTTTGAACTACCTTTCAGTTACTACTAGTACTCTTATTTCGGTGCTTTGTGTCTATTGTTTATATGTTAGTTGTTTTTGTGCCTTGTGCCAATCTTTCGAGTTAAGCCAATTGCTACGGATTTTTACAGTATGTTCTTATGTTGTGCTGTTACACCATTGTTCCAGGTTAGGGGGAGGATTAAGCGCTCATTCTTTATGTGTGTCTGTCCAAAGTCAGGAGCATGTAGTTCAGTAGTTGACGTTGGTTAATGTCTGTCATATTTGTTTTTCGTAAATCGTTTTGTTATCTTGTTTGGTTTACTGTTTGAATTGTTTCACATTTCTCAAGTGGGGGCCTTTTATAGCCGACTGTACGGTATGGGTTTTTCTCATTGTTGAAGGCCGTACAGCTGCTTATAATTCCTTACATCCATTTCATAGAAGTCTGGTGGATAGTCTCATTGGCTATCATACCACATCTCCTTATTCTTATATGTATTCGTATCGCCCGACAAAGAAGTCAACAGTGTGGTGGTGGTATGACGTAAATACTACACGGAAGTTCTTAAAAATGAATTTATAAGTTTTTCTACATTCAGATCCGTGCCTTCCACAGAGAGTCATATAGAAAACATCATATCGTTACCAAATTTCAGTTTAAATCTAAAAATAAGAAGATGTGGTACGATTGCCAATGAGACAAATGTGTACCAGAGACCAAATGACATAGCAGTTTACAACTATAGGCCACCGTACGGCCTCCACAATGAGCAAAACTCATACGCATGGTAAGCTATAAAAGTCCCTGAAATGACAAATGTAAAACAATTCAAACGAGAAAACTAACGACCTGATTTATGTACAAGACAAAGTTAACGAAAAACAACTATAATATACAGCAACAAACGACAACCACTAAATTACCGGCTCCTCAGATGCGACAGGCACACCAAAAATGTGGCGGAGTTAAACATATTTGCTGGCGCCAAACGCTCCCCTAACATGGGACAGAGGTGTAACAAACCATAAAAATCAGTTGAAAAAGGCTTTACTCATCAGATCGATACAAAGCACATAAAACCCTACGAAAAACACAAAAGACACACAGTACAGATCTGAGAGCCCTCGCAATTACTGAAAGCTAGTTCAAAGCCAATAGCAACTAATAAAAAACTGTGTTTAAGACTAAAATATTAATCAGTACACATCCAACATCCAATGGAGCTATGCTCTCAGATTTCTACTGAATGTGTTAGTTGTTTTTGTGCTTTGTATCGATCTGATCAGTACTTTTCAACTTATCTTATAGACTTTGTTCTCATGTTGTGCGGTTACACAACTCTCCCAGATTAGGGGAGGGTTGGCGCGCCCTCAAAAATGTTTAACCTAGACAAATTGTGTATCTGTCTGTCCCAAGTTAGGAGCCTGTATCAGTGGATGTCGTTTGTTGCTCTTTATCATATACATTTTTGTTTGTTTATTGTTTTGTACATAACATAAATCAGGCCGATACTTATCTCGTTTGAATTGTTTTACATTTGTCATTTCTGTGCCTTTTACAACTTGCTATGGGGAACGTGTTTTGCTCATTGTTGAAGGCCGTACGGTGACCTATAGTTGCTAATCTTCTACGTCATACTGTCTCTGGTGGAGAGTTGTCTCATTGGCAATCATACCACAGATTCGTATTGGCAATTGTTTCTAAATTTGCCGTCTGAAGTAAGTACATTAAAAGTGGTTACCCTTAGACTACTATTAATCTATCCATTAGAAAAAAAATTGTAACTACAGAAACTGCATATTTAAGTTTTTTTTTGCACAACACACCGAAGGATTGATCCAATGAAAGACTGACCGTAGGGAGGTCTTTCTTTTGACAAACCTGACACCGGAGATGTGCTATACGACAAGAAAAAAACCTTTAAATATGCATTATTTACATACTGGAAACAAATATTTTTTTTTCTGCAAAGTATTGAAGAAAGTTGTATATCATATTTTAACCGTTCACATTAACGTGGGGTATGGTTTTCTTAAGCGTTTAATTATAACCACTCCAAACAGTTTAATCATAAGGTGAATCAAAACACAATAATTTAGATATAAACGTTAGTAATCACTGTCTAGCTGAACTAAAATTTATTGCAATTGCATGACCCAAGGAACAAATGAATTGGTTCGGCATATGGATAATACAAGTCACTTGGTAAGTAATTTATTTTATTGACTTTGTAAAAGAGTGTGTGCTTTGCTTTTTTCTCCGGATTCATGATATTTTTACTGCGGAAAAGCAGATTATTCTTTCACCAATTAAATTAAAACGAACTTATTCAAGATAATTGTTTTCTCTGTTTTGCCTGGGCCATACACTTTTCTTCAAAAATTCAGAATCACGATATAATATCGTAGCCCTCCTCTATATAGGAATATAACTAAAACTTATATCCGTTAAATTGGTCTGTATCTTTGTTTCAGTATTCATTGTCATTTTGTTTATCTTTGGTTGTTCTTGTGATTCTACTTGTGCTCCCCTGTTCACACTTGTCTCTTTTGTGAAGGTTATTTCAGTTTCATCAACCTTCACTTCTCCTAAGGAAATTAATGATTGCATTTTTCTAAAAATATGTTGTATCTCGTCATTTTGCTTTATCTTGATGTCAACTTCTCTAACCGCCTTATTTTTTTCTTCAACGTGTTGTATACATCGATGTACTTGTTGATCAATCTGATGTATTCCTAGAAATGATTGGAGTGTTGAAGTATGTACTTTAACAGCATGTAAATCTTCTTGCATTTCCTTTAAGCTTTTCCTTTTTTCTTCAATTTCCACAATGAAACCTGTTAATTTTGATTTCTCCAAGCCCCATATAGTATCTGCTTCTTTGTATATTTTCTTCTCTAACTGGTCCAAATGTTTATTGATTTCCTTCCGTATTTTACTGATTGATTCCTTTATGATTTGGTATTGTTGTTCTCCTCTTTGTATGTTTTCTGATTTGTTGTTAGCCATTTTATCCAAGAGTTGTAAGATGGAGGTTATATCTTTTTCTACAGATTTTTTTGATTTTTCAATCTTAGTTTGATCCACTACATTCGCTAAACTTTTTATTCCAGTACATTTTGAATGACCCTTAGAAATGCATTCATCACAGCAAGGCATTAAATGACTTGGGCAGTACAACCTGAGCTGTTGACGATGGGTGTCACATTCTGTTTTATTAGAGCCAAAGGAAGGTTTATAGGTTTGAATATCAATTGTTTCATGATCATGAGTTAATTTCAATCTTTCATGAAGGCTGAAACATGTAGAGCATAATCCTTCATCACAATTGTAACAACAGATATCAGCTGAAGTGTTCACTTTACCTTGTTGACAAGGTCCGCATGTTATCATTTTACTTGATGCCATGATCTAAGCAAATACATAAATTTTTATTAGTCACTTACGTTATTTCATTTTGTTTATCCTTTAAAGAATTAAGTGCTTATTGCTGAAATGTGATGGTCTATGTTCAATATACTTTCTTGGTATATATGGTGCCTTCGACTCCAATCTTAATTAACTAGGATTGCAAGTTTTCCTGACAAAGGTCAGTGGTTTCTCTCCGGACACTCTGGCTTCCTCCACCAATAAAAATTGGCCACCACGATGGTCTAGACCAGTCGATTGCCAGGGCCTTCAGTTTCAAATGTAGTTTTGATATTAAATGAACATTTTTAACAGCTTATTAGTATCTCTTTTACTTGACTACCAGAATAAACAGATAAAATCTTCCCCATTATTGCAGACTGTTCTTCACTTGTAAAATGTTTGATTCCTAAGTTTTACATGAACATACTAAAGTGGAGGAGTACAATCTATTAAAAATATATATATACCTCGATCCTTTTTAAACAAAAAGTCAGCTGTATGTATGACAAAAAATCAATTTCTTTTACGTTTTTCTAAAATCTATGTCTACCAGGAAGCTATTTAGTTAGAAAACGATCTAGGTTATCGTGACATTTGTGAATCATAGCTGTCCTAGATAGATAACCAGTATATGTTACATAATATCCATCGATAATATATTTATGTTGTATAGTGATTTAATTTAGTGAACAAAAGAAGTCAGCATTTGTATGAATGTGGAAAAGTTAATTTTGTGAAATGCTAGATTTATATTGAGCTCTTTCTGCAAGACCAGGACAATACTAACGAACGTCAAACTCTGCACTCAGCATACGGAAATACATACATGTGGCTCCATAGAATCTCCCTTAGACGCTCACAGTACTAATTATTTTCTATTGTTTACAAAGTTTGAAACAATATAAAAATAGAAGGATATTGTTTTGACGTCAAGTTATTTTTATACGTTGCAGTTTGATAGGCAGTTGGGACAGGTGAGGTTGTGTTTATTTTGTGGTATGGGCATGGTTATTTGTCTGTCTGTTGGGCATGGCTATTTGTCTGTCTGCTTTACGTACTGCTTATTTTTCCAGAACACCTCAGTTCAGCAAGATGTTTGAGGGGGTTCATGCGTGTTGCTCAATCTTTATTGTATTTTTTCACATTTCTATCTTCCTTACTGAAACAACTTGCACACATTTAACAAACTTTATAGTAGGAATGATGTATTGAAGGTTCTCAACAAAAATAAACACGACCAGCAGAGACAAACTTTTTTTAATTCTGATTTGCAAGTTTTTAAAAATTTTCTGCGAAAGTTTTAAAACTTTACAGGATTGCATGATGACTGTAATGGTTGCTGGGTGAAAAAAATATTGATTAATTGTTGTTTGCTTAACGTCCAGTGGTAAATGATTCATGCATGCAGGACGAAAACAAATTAACAATAAATTCAATAGGTAGGTCCTGTAATGGAGGCCGTCCGGAGACTTCCACTGAAAAATGAGGGTATATTGAATAGAGACAGAACTTTTGCCTTACAACAGGCCACCTGCGTACCCCTCAAAGAGTTGATGCAAGGGGTCTTAACGTACAGAGAGCGTGCCACTGTCTCTACATGAGGTATCGGATGTAATGTCCCTATTCTGACAGGACGTGGCTGCGAACCTGTACATCCCGCACAGCTAATTGGACGGCCAACTGTGGCTAGGGTTATACTGCCAGTCGGAAGAAGACGAAAGTGACCATATTCACCGTTGGGGGTTTAAAACATAAGTATTCAATAGTTTTTGTAATTGTATTTTTCCGTTTTGTTTTTACTTCTGATTTTCAGGGGGAAAAATCGATTTAAAAACAGTTCAATATTCAAATGGCTTAATATGATCTAATAGATATACCGGACAACAGAAACTCGCACAGTCTTACCACAAGAACAGTGAATTTGAGTAATGTTGGTTTTAATTAAGATAATAGTTCATATTTTAACTTATAATTACAAATAAAAGGTTTGTACCACGAATAACTGACCAGATCTAAAACTACGATAAACTGTCCATTTTGATTATATATCGTATGTTAAAAATATGACAGGATTGTTGTTTTTGAAATCACCTAATCGTATTTTTCCTCATCTAATGAGCTTCTAGAATCCGAAAGAAAAAAAAAAAATTCCGTTCAAGAATGATTCAAATACAAAAGACGAAATGAAGTTCTAGCCAAAACCTGAACATATCCAAGAAGACTTTTACGGATAAAAGTACGAAGATCTGTATAGAAGATCAGGTTTGTAATAATAAATAAATAACTAGAATAACTATGTATTGACCAGGTGGAAAAAATCTAACATTTCGTGTAATTTCCATTTATAATGTCACCATATAAAAGGGCATTGCAACAGAATTTCCAATGTTTGACTTTTTTTAGTTTTTGAGTTAATTGGACACAGAGTTGTATAAAAACATGTGCACGCCTCATTTTGAACAGTTTTCATAATCCGATATTATGTTTCTTGAAAAAAAAGGAAAAACAACAGGTTATAAATTTCATGCGTCCGAAGTGGTTTTCTGAATTCATCTTCTTCAGGAAAGCTCAAATCCGAATATTCGAAAGCCAAGTATGTATAAGAATCGAAACAGTTGAAGACCTAAATGACCAAAAAGGACCTAAAAAATAGTAAATATTTTTAAAATCTTGTTCTTGTGGAAAGCTTATTTTTCTGTCTGTTTCTGAGTATGGTAATTGTTTATTATTAGTTTTTGTGCATGCATCTATATACTATTTTTGCAGCGACGTTTTTTTTCATCGAAAATGTTATAGTATTTTATACATTGTCGTATTGAAATCGATTTTTATACTTTAATTCATAAGCTAATGAATAAAGATGAATTATAATATAATATTTATCATTTTGTAGTATTTGTTTGATTACTTATTTGTTCCTGTCCTTCTTCTTTCAGATGCTTCAACATAGAAGTTGAACACTAAATTCAAAAAGAGTCCAAGACAATTGCCGAGTTCGATTTCAGCACAGAAAGTGAAAAAAATTGAGAGGAGATTAACCCTATCCGGAGGAAGAAGGTTTGGCTGTGAATTTATAGGTTTGTTTTGATAGTTACTATAATTTATGTGGAAGGGAATAAGGGAATGCACTACATGGTTCTCTCTGCACGAGGCAGCGGATTTGACGTCTCCATTCTGACCCCTGACTTGGCTGCATACTTATACATCCCACATAGCCAAATGAACGCCACACTTTGGCAAGGGTTTTACTGCTGGTTGAAAGAAGACCAAAGTGACCATATTTCTATTCCCCAGTCACCGTTTGGGACGAAGAACCCTCCAAGAAAGATATAATATGTGAAGGAGGCAGTTTGATTATAAACTATAAATTAACAATTGACATAACGCTGATAAAATAAAGAAATAAAGTATTGCACAATTAAACAAAAACTACACACCAATATATATATCTAAACATTTTTAAACTTGTCGTGGGGTCAAGAAAACGGAACAGAATCATCGATACAAATGTGTGTCCGTAAATAAATGACGTTGACACCACGTGGTTGAAACATGCGTTGGATTGTAAGCATAAAAATAAGATGTATGATTTCCCACGAAAGAACTTCCACCAGAGACCAAATTGACGTATAGTTAGCAACTATAAGGTACCGAACGACCTTCAACAATCAGCAAAACCAATATCGCAAAGCAACTATAAACAGCCCCGACATTACAAATGTAAATCAATTCACACAAGAAAACTAACGGCCTGATTTATGTACAAACAATAAACGAAAAACAAATATGATACCGGTATACAGCATAAAACGACAACCACTGAAATACTGACTCCTGACATGGGAAAAGCACATATTTAATGTGGCTGGATTAAACATGTTTGCGGGCGCCCAACTGTGACCCTCCCTCTAACCTGGGGCAAAGTAACGTTCGTTAATGATTATACTGTTAAATTATTAAATCAAGGATTACGTTACCATAAATTACGTAAAACTTTTGCTAAGTTCTTTCATAGATACAAAGATTTGATTAGTAAATTTGGCTGTACTTGTAGAAAACGGATTAAAAACGGTATTTCACATCCTAAATTTTACGGTAATATTGTACTTAAAGCGCGGAAATCACTATGTGATCCGTGTAAACTCATCGAACCTTTGAACAGGCTTATTAGTAAAGGTTATCTTACCAATGTTGTAATTAGATCTTTGAATATAGTTTACATTGGCACTAATATCGATTTTGTCATCAGCAAATTAAAACATAACTTAATTTGTATTTTTTTCAATTGGGATGTATAAAGACACACCCACGTTCGTTTAGATCTATAAAGAGGTTAAACTCCTAACTATCCTACTGTCTGTCGATACATTTATTTTTGGCATTGCACTAGTCATGTCTTCTTTGACTGTCCATGACGTTAAAATACTAAATCCCTGGGATGTGTTTTGGTTGATTTTAGTCTCCGATGCATGATTTTTTATTATTAATTGTTTTGGCTTTTAACTAGCTGTACGTAACTGCGAGTACTCTCAAATCGTACTTTCTTGTTTATTTGACCTGTTGATACTAATTGTATTGCTTTTTTGTTATTTAATGTTATTCAGGGTTATATCTGGTCTATATACCAGCTTTGATAAGTGTTTGGTATAACTATAAATTTTCACTTCGTACTATGAACATCAAAATTATTTATTTTGTAAAAATATTTCCTTTCTCTTTTAGTACTGTACACGTATACCTAACAACAAAATTATTTTCATTTACCTGTGTTTAAAGTTATTGCAAATGGATAGTATTTTTGTTCGGGCATATTGTTTTTCTTTAATTGTTTAACATTTCTTACCGATATAACATGTTACTTTTATTATTCTTCCCTTAGTTTATTTATTTTGTATCAAAATTATATATTTTGTAAAAATATTTCCTTTCTCTATTGGTACCGTACACGTATACCTAACAACAAAATTATTTTCATTTACCTGTGTTTAAAGTTATTGCAAATGGATTGTATTTTTGTTCGAGCATATTGTTTTTCTTTAATTGTTTAACATTTCTTACCGATATAACATGTTACTTTTATTATTCTTCCCTTAGTTTATTTATTTTGTATTTACATTGTGTCATAGGTCAAATTTATTTGTTCAGTGTATGTTCAATGGTGTTAATATGTCCTTTGATTGAGTTAAGCTATTTCAGTTGATATTTTATAGTGTGTCTTTCTATGTTGTGATGTTACACTATTGTTTCAGAAAAAGGGTGAAGGTTTGGTACCATTAAAACGTTTAAACCCGCTGCATTTGTTTGCACCTGTCCTAAGTCAGAAATCTGATGTTCAGTAGTTGTCGTTTGTTGATGTGGTTCATAAGTGTTTCTCGTTTCTCGTTTTTTATATAGATTAGACCGTTGGTTTTCCCGTTTGAATGGTTTTACATTAGTAATTTTTTGGGGCCCTTTATAGCTTACTGTTCGGTGTGAGCCAAGGCTCCGTGTTGAAGACCGTACTGTGACCTATAATGGTTTACTTTTATAAATTTTGACTTGGATGGAGAGTTGTCTCATTGGCACTCATACCACATCTTCTTATATCTATATATGAATTTGCTGATTACATTTTACATCTATTGATATGGACTTTTGTTTATCAAAAAGGTATATTTAATTTATATTCATGATGGAACATGTTGATGTGTTATGGATATGAACCTTGCTTTGTACTAGACCAATACAGTGAACCGGATTGTTAACGTCCTAATTCACAAGGTAAAAGCTCACAGGAAGACATGTAGAACCGATCAATCGTAAATGCTGCGTGCCAGGTGGAGAAGCAGCAAATATATTTAAAGCCTTTAGATTTACCCGATTGGCAGTGGAATATACGATCCCCCCGCACCAAAGCGATCACGCTACCATGAACCACCTTGAGGATTGTCTTTTTGCATCAATGAACGTCTTAAACCAAAATTAAGTATCTAAAAGACAAAACATAGCTTTACTTCCAGTACACACATGAAGCCGTCATCCTGGGGATTACAGAAAAAATACTGAAAAAGATTTGATTAATATGGCCCTGGTATGAAATAAATTTAGAGGATAATAGTCTACCCTTTTGTTCAATTTATTTTTTTCAAATATATCATTCTCCGGCAGCCTTTAATGGACTTTCTAGAAATTAGTAAAATCAAACATAAACGCGTTCTACTGTGCTAAAAAAGAGAACAAGAAAACAAGAAGTTGGACTCATTGACGACTGTTTGAAGTCTGGCGGCAAGTATTACATAAAGCAAATCACAATTACAAAGTCTTCGGTTTGACTCAGTATTCACGTATTCACTTAGTAGGTAGATACGATTATAAATAACTAAAACAATAAAACGTGCTTCAAAGTTTACTTATATCTACTAGTATATAAGATGTATATATAAAAGGGAATTCCATATCGTCAGCATCATTCTGGATGGACCAGTTTAGTAAACACTCCCTGAAAAATATCAGTTTTACTTGTTAAAGAAATATAGGGATGTGCAAAGGTTAGTGACGAAAAATTACAAAATTTAAAGTGTTTATGATACGTTACAGTTTCTTAAACACATTTCACCAAGTATCTTTGAAACATGAATTGTTTAGTTTCGAACAAATCGCAAAAAAAACACCCCAAAACAGAGCTTTACCATTTTGTCATAACTTATTTTTGTCGTTCAATTTATTTGTTTCATCGAGCCTTGTTTTATTTCAGAGGTATAGCTATATAAATGGAAATCTGTTAATTTCGCTGCAGTATAAATCATTTAAGATTTGCCTAAGACTAAACGAATAAATCACTTAGATCGAACTTTACCTTTCTTAGGGCGTGGCCACCCCCCACCTCCAATTCTTCTACGATGTGTCCACCAATATTTATTACCACCTGGCCAATATCCTCCACCACTGCTGTATCCCATTCCACCGTATCCACCAATACCGCCGTACCCACCCATACCACCGTATCCACCCATTCCTCCGTATCCACTCATTCCGCCGTATCCACCCATTCTGCCGTATCCACTCATACCGCCGTATCCACCCATTCTGCCGTATCCACCCATTCCGCCGTATCCACCCATACCGCCGTATCCACCCATTCCTCCGTATCCACTCATTCCGCCGTATCCACCCATTCCTCCGTATCCACCCATTCCTCCGTACCCATATCTAATGCCTCCTCCATACATTATTCCGCCGTATCCATCACTACCGTATCCCCCACTACCGTAACCCATTCCTCCGTATCCACCGCCACCCATTCCTCCATATCCCATGCCACCATAACTTATTCCACCGTAACCGCCACCACTATATCCCATTCTGCCATATCCTCTTCCTTCACAAAATTAAAAATAATAATTGTTAAGAATAAAATTAATTCAGTAAACTTAAAGTCAACCATGTAATCTCACATTGTTATCAAATACTATCAGCATATACAACAATAGTTAATATGAATAAGAGCAAAAATCTTTGAAAAATATATAATTATGACCAAATATATGATGTCCTGGTTGAAAAAAAAGATGATCCGATTGAAGATCAAAATATAAAATAGAACACCATGCATGAGTTTCCCTTTCCCATCGAATTTAATACTGTTAATTAGAACCAGATTAAATCCATCGACTCGCGACTGATATTTTTAAAATTCTGTTAAAAGGGGAAAAAACTGATATCTTTATTTACAGATTAATTATTGGAGCTTGTTTATACAGTATCTGCGAGCATTCTTTGTTAAAGACACTGATTCTATGTAATGGTCGAAGACGCTATCTTTTCAAATGTCATTTCTGGTTTTATAGTTTGTTTAGTAGTTTCTGTCTCATTGATTCTTTTTATTTATTCTTTTAATTTCCCGCAGCATATATCAGGGCTTAATGCCCCATCCATATTTTTCTAATTTTGAACATTAAACAAACGGAATCGCATCTTGATCCTTCATTTTTTTTTTACAAAAAAAAAGATACACTTTTCTTTAAAAACGACTATTTCGCCTTTATATTTTGACTATCTCGTCTTTTTGAAGTGTCATGTAAGTTATGTCCTTCAACAGAATATATGTTAATTTATGTTCCTTCAACAAAATATATGTCAATTTATGTTCCAATAAAAATCCAAAGAATGACCATAATGAAAATGAATACCTTCGATTTAGACCTTTTTTTATCTTGAAATGTACTTAGGAAATGTAAAAGATTGGGATATCGCCAATTGAAAAAAAATATCAAAGTATTAAACATTTTTTCATTACAGCAGCACCAATTAGTAAGCCTGACGACGAGTAAAACACTATACGCACATATGATCTATAGGATGCATATTAAACAGAGGGGGAAGAGAATTTAAATTACAACTTGATCTATTAATAACTTTAAGCTGAAACTATTTTACATGTATAAATGTTAATTTATGTTCATCAAAAATCAAAAGAATGACGACCGCGCGAATGGAGAGCTGAGATAAGCTTGTATGAATTAATTGATGTTTGCTTTACGCCGCATCAGCGCAAACAGGCTATATCGCGTCGAGAGCCGATTCAAGTATTAGAACAAATGCTGTGACAAAGGTCTCTCAAAATACTAAAAATTAAGCAAAATTACAGATTGTTTTGATGATGATAATGCCGATGATTAATGTTGATTTAAAAATAGACTTTTTTTTTTGAAATGTGCTTGAGAAATGTAAAAGTTATTGGATACCGCCATTTGATAAGGACGTTGCGCACGATATTGGTGTCACTTTTGAAAAATGAAGAAGAGGGCGAGTTTTTCTCCTTTACGCTCTTTTTTTACAAAATAAATATCAATGTTCTGCATATCATTCGAAAGAAAATTAATCACAGAAGAATATTAAATAGTTTATTTTCGCTTTGTTTATTATATAAAGATGTACTGTGTTGATTCCGATGCCTTAAATGTCATTTTAAGGGTGTCCCACTGTTACAATTATGGTTGGTGCGGGTCTTTGAAATCAATTTGCGGTTTTAAAAGTTCGCGAAATAGTATAAAATTTCGCAAGAGCTGTGAACGTCATCAAAGAAATATGACGTCATTGCCGTTTTTCAAGATGGGTGAAAGAAGATAGCCAGAAAGGTTGAAACAAATCAGAGAAAAAATGTCCCATTCAGATGGTCAACACCCGTAAAAACTTTTCAACTTTAGTTATTACTTGATAAAAGAGACGTAAGTAGCATTTAATCATATCAGAAAATTTGAACATGTCCTAAAGAAGCTTTCTGAAGTCATGAATATCTATCTACTGTCTTACTTTCAAACTATCGTCAGTTTTCCCGTGTCCAATAAAATGTCCCCACTGACAAAATAAGGCATTTACACATCTAAAGCCTGTTTATCAAATGAGATTTCACTTGATCTGCAATAAGTAACACCTTTTAACTGATAGAAATGAAAAATACATTTTATGTCCTCTGTAGAAACATAAAATGTATGTCCATAAAAGCTGCATATCGAAAATACCAATAGAAATAAAATGTCTAATGAGATGTCCCCATTACTGAAATTTGACGTCGGCGTTGTCATGAAAAGTTTTGAGTTGAACTCGGCTATTCATATACTTTATGGTTCGATGTATTTGGCATGAAATTCATTTTCTGAAATTGTCTGAAAAATATTTAACCAAGTCCTTGGTCTGTTTGTATGCATGGGGATCTGTAATGTGCTTATGGTATAAAAAGACGATATGATTAGCTCCCAATACTGGACAAAAGTCGGGTTCCGGGCCCATGCAAGTTAAACAAGCTTATATTTTAGTTTCCATGTCTCACTTTCACAAATAGAAAAGTTAAAAAGACTCCGATCAAAATGTACTTTATTTCTATTGTAAGGCCCCTTGTCGATTAAGATTATGATCGATTCGAAATTAAGGTATCTGTATACACACTCCTTTCCCACCAGCGTTTTTCTTATCATGATTCATATTTTTTAAGAAATTATAGATCATATTGTTACAGGCAAATTGGAGAGCCGGTATTTCATTTGTAATTTGATTCCAATTAATTACTAATTTCCGTGTAATGGTACAACTATATAAATATCCATGTACTATTACTGTCAGTAGAACAACTAATATCATAATGCATACAAGTAAACTCGTATAAATGGATATGTATACAGGTTAAAAGATAACCAAATTAATAATATTTATCTGCATGCGTAACAGGATAACATTCACTTCAAATATGAATAAAAGGAATCATGGAGAAAACATCAATGAGACAGAAACCCAAAAACAAAAATCACCACAAGATATCGAAAATAGACATATACAAGTCTTCAAGTACAGTTTACTCTGCTAAGGCTGATACTTTCTAGTAAATGCACCATACATCTATTCTTTTACAATATTCTTCTGAATTGTCGGATATCATTATGTGGGAATTTTTATGCTTTGTGTATGCAACATTGCATTAAAAAATATTGTTTCAGAAAATTTACAAACTTACAATACTATAAGTATACTACATGTACAGTGATGTAGGTGTAATTGACATTTCATTTTTTCCCTTTTGAACAGTCAAACACAAAATGTCTGCTAAAAAGAAACTGGAATTTAACAGAAAACAGAAACTCTTAAAACGTCGACAACAAAAACTGGCCTCATACTACAAAAACAGAAGTAAAAAAAATGCTGAGTATATGTACACAAATACAAAAGAAGCAACAAAAAAGAGAGCATACAGGGCAAAAAAGGCCGAAAAAAAGGAAAAGGAAAATACAAGAAAGAGAAATTACAGACAAGCTATGAAAAGCAAACACATAACTCAAAATACATTAGACGACAGGGATATTTTTAAAAATGTGTTTAATAACAGGACTACTAAACACAGAGCCATTAAGAGATTGAAGAACGCACTACCAAGAACACCGAAAAGAAGATCGGCTACTCTCGCTGCTTACCTTCAGCATACAAAATCTCCAGCAGTTGAGATTCTAAGACAGGCGGAAGTCGTATCTTCACCAGAAGACCAGATGGATATGGCAATAGAAAAGGCTGCTCTAGAAGATATAAAGACGGCCATTGATAGTTGCAAAACAAAGAGATCAAAAGACTCCGTTACATCAATGAACGTTCTTGTAGCATCCATTAGTGGTGAAAAGGTTACAGAGACCAGGTGTCGCAAAAATTTAGCAAAAAAATTAGGACTACCAGTAAGACGATTGAGTAGGGGAAACCGAATCAGGACAACTATTTTAAAATCAGAAAAATCATGCTGGGCTTATGTATGCAGAAAGACCCGCAAAGACGCATTATCTGAGGAAACAAAACGACTGGCATATAATTTTTGGATGAAACCCGGCATATCCCGTCCTACAGGTAACAAGGCAGATGTAAAACGAGAAAGGATTGGGCCCAAAACATACTCTAGTCACCAAGTATATCTACTTGAAAAAACACAAACCGAGGTATACATTGATTTTACTGCTGAATATCCATGCATAAAATTGTCCCAGCGTTCTTTTGAAAATTGTAAACCGTATTTCATTCGTCAAGTGCGTCCGAAAGATAGACAAACCTGTTGCTGCAGGTACCACGTAGAAACCAAAAGCGCATTTAAAAGTTGTATGAATTTTCGGAAAAAGTTATTGAACGAGAATGATGCATATGATGAAAATAATGTTCATGTTTATGATTACATAAGCGACATTGTGGATGTCACATTATGTAACAAAGAAGATAATGTCCACAAAATATCTTGCCTTAAAAGAGATTGTGGAGAATGTGGTATTAACAAACTAGAACTACTGCCAGAGGAAACTGACGATTTAGATACTGCACAGATAGTAAAATGGGAGAGATTTGAAAAGGTAGACATTAAAGTTAAAGGCAACAAAACAATTAAAAAGTTGGTCCTTGTGAAGAAAGAAACCAAAGCTGTAGAACTATTTTCACATTTTTTAGAACTTTTAAAATCATTTCCACTACATCAGCATAGAGCAACGTGGCAAAACAAACAATACCAAACACTTCTAACTGAACTTCCACAAAATCATTGCGTCTGTGTACATGACTTTTCAGAAAATTACCGCTGTACGGATTTAAAAGAACTTCAAAGTTCATATTTTCAAAAGACGGAAGTGTCTATTCATGTAACAATAATACATCGCCACGCTTTACTTGAATATGACGGTGTTGAGAGTACCTCCGAGTTTCCTGAAATAATTACCGAACATTTTTTTGTGATAAGTAGTGACCAGCAGCATGATCAACATTTTGTTCATGAAGTTCGAAAGAATATTACAGAGTACTTAAAATCCATCTCTTACCCGGTCCATACAATGCACGAGTTTACGGATGGATGTGCTGCACAATACAAAAGTCGCCACTGCTTTGGTGATATAAGCCGGACCTGTAAGGATTTTGGATACAGCAATTTCACCCGAAATTATTTTGAAACCGCACATGCAAAAGGTAATATTTTTTTGGGGGAAATTATTAACATTTTAATATTTTTATTTTTTCAAAGAACGCTTCATGCTTTGATAATAGGCTATTTGCATTGTTTGCATTTTCATCTAACGTTAATAAGCTCAGTCAACAGAACTATATTTTTGGCTTGGCAATGGTCGTTATTTTAGCGGGTGATATAAAATAGCAATAGAATCTTCCGTGAGATACGTGGTCGTACATAATAGAAAAGTAACAACACTGATAAGACACATCATTATTCAAAGTTTAAAAATAAATAAACGGAAGAACAAAAAATAAATCTTGATGATCGAAAATCAGGAGAATATACTACTAGAATCAACAATTAAAGCTAGAAAGTTATTTTTTGTATAATTATAAAAAAAAAACACCAATTGATACATAATTTAATACAAAGAAGACATGTGGATCATACAAATATATATAAGGTAGATAACCACACTCAAACATACATCACATTCGACTTCGTCTCGGGTGACATACTTCTTTTCGTGTTGTAACAGAAAATTGTATGCATGTTTATACGAGTCAAAATCGCATTTCTTTTACATCTTAAAACATTGACAGTCTTTGTAAATAGCAACTGAAGATAAAAAAATGTCCAGGTATTATAATAAAGTAATTTTCCTCATATTTTCAGGCCCCCAGGATGCCGCCGGTGGACTTCTAAAGCGACAGGCAGATATAGCAGTCTTACGCGGACGAGCGACAATACAAAATGCATCCGATTTATATAATTTTGCCGTTATGAATATGACACAAACCAAATCCGTTTGTAAAAGAAGACTATTTAGATTTGTGGAAACAATCCCGAGGGATACAAACCTATCTTACAAACCTGTAACAAACATAAGATTAGTACACCAAGTTATTGTTAGGGATAACCGTGATGAAATTTTAATCAGGGAACTATCATGTTTTTCTTGTGACAAATGTGCCAGTCATTTCTATGAAGAATGTGAAAACATTTCAAACACGGGGAGTTTTACGAAAGTAAAAATGATTAATGAAACCCCGAGAGTAGTTGATAACAATGAAGTCACAAACCCCGAAATTGAGAGGGAAGAATTATCTGACCTTGTCTCTTCAGGACAAGTCATTGCCGTTTACACAGATGACCCGGACAATGATTTCTACCTAATAAAAGTTATGGATTGTCCTCACGTTCTTGGTGTCGACACAACAGATTCGTGGGGCTCCATATTGCCAGCTGGGACAAGTGTTATCAGTGGATTGTATTATGATAATAATGCATCACCACTATCATATAAACTTGTATCGAAAAAAAAAGCAATTGTTCCAACAGAATCGATAGTTTATATATGTTCCGAAATTGACGCCACAAGAAATATTCAATTACATGAGGACATTCATCTCAGCATTTTACAATGTATAAATGAATTAAAATAGTCACAAATATAGGTGTTATTTTTTATTTTAGTTTTTCATATCATAGTGTTAGCATTGCTCGTATTATAAATCAAAGTAACGTCGTCAACTTCATGCAATATTGACGTTTTACGTGTAACGTCAAGTGACACCAGTATTGTGCGTAACGTCACGATATAAATCAAAGTATTATTCAACAGTTCTTCATTCCGGCAGCACTGAATTATTAACCTGACGACGGGTAAAATACAATACGCACTTATGATCTATAGCGTGCATATTTACAAAACAGAGGAGGGAAAGAGAGAATATTATATGATTTTTTATTAATAACTTGAGAAGTAGGTTGTAAGTAAACAAAAAAGTTTGTTACCCCCTTTTTCCATAATCAGCAGCTGCAACAGCTATAGTGATTAAAAGAACTAGCAGCTTCATCTGTATCTGTAATCATGAAAACAAGCTTCAGTAAAGAAATACAGAACACAACGTAATAAAATAGTTTATGACCAGATGACTGATCAACGCTTTGTGTTGTAATTTTTGTGACCTGTTCCATCGGTTATATTGAACGTACTTTTATTGCTTGTAGTTGAGTTCAGAAATGTTATGAAATCGAATGCAGGTTCAACCAGTTCGATAGAAAAATTGTCGTTCGAACAGTCACCAGAAACTCGTTTAGTCTTAACGTAAATAGTTACGTTGTCTTTAAATACACTTAGCTTCAAATTGTATTTTTAAACGCTGTGTTTTTTGTATTTTTCTATTTAATTGACGAGTCAAATATAGTAAAACTAGACTAGAGGAACTATTTTTGTCACCTAAAAGTTGGTCCTAAGTTATGAGGTTTACGGCATCTCAGACATTCCTCTTTAAATATGTATATTTATATATATAACCTCATCAAAGACACCAGGCTTATAATTTAATAAGCCAGACGTGCGTTTCGTCTAAATAAGATCCATCAGTGGCTTTAAAATCAAAACAGGCCTAAAATTGTGCCAAATCTGGCAAGGATGTATGTAGGTAAATGCTTAATTGTTTAACGTTCATGCATGTTCAGGACGAGATCAAACTAACAATAAATAGATAAGTCCTGTAATAGACTTCGTTCGGGATGAAGGTCGGGGAATTTTGACTGCCAAGGGAAAATGAGGGTTTATTGGATAGAGACAGAAATTTAGCCTTGCAACAGGCCACCTATGGACTCCTCAAAGAGTTGTTGCAAGGATTCTTAACGTGCAAATTACTTGGCACTCTCTTTACACGAGGCATCGGATTTAACGTCCCCATTCTGACCGGACATGACTGTAAACACGTACATCCCGAACAGCCAAACGGACGCCCACTTTGGCGAGTGTTTATCGCCGGTCGAAGGCAGTATCGGTATGTAGATAAAAAATTCTTAAGTCTTTTGAATGACTTAACCTTCTATTAAAAGTAAATTTAAGGCAAATAACCGTAACTATGATATTCCACTGTAGCACTGACTACTGAGCTGGCAAAACCCTCGATTAATAAATATGTTTTACAATTGAAGCTTGTATACAATCAGCAGGTTTAAATTAACAGGTTTAAACCCGAAACAAGTTTCGTTGTGACAAGTTCCCCCTAAAATTATTCCAACCTTTTAGATAATAAAAAAACCTGCACAGTATGATTACCAATATCTCATTGACACTCATACCATATTAAATTTTTATATTGATAAAAAAAAGGTCCCTCCTCAAACAAAAACTTCTGAACCTTAAGCAATCTATTGCCTTATTCTTTTTTTTGCTCTCATTAAAATAATTTATAAGTATTTAAAGAAACCTTACCTCCTATCTGTAGATACCGTTCCCAGGAAAGTTGGTGTTAAACAACATTACAATGCCGTATTTATATACCTAAATAAAGGAAATATACCTTGAATTACACAATTAAATTTGACATAAAATTTGTAAACATAAGTTTTTACAAATTTTAATGGCTTATAACAATCCTAATGGTCGATACTGACAAGACAGTTCATGTTTAATAAGATTTATATTATATTTAGAGACCACAACATCTTATGAAATCATAAATATGAAATTATGAAATCATAAATATGATCGACAGTTGTTGGAAAGATTAAAAGTTGTATAATGTTTGAAACAATCGCTATTTTTTGTTTGTTTGGCGATATAACAGATCCTATTAAGTTTAGTTTTGAAAACATCACTTTTTTCTTCTTTCATTTCGTTTTACATTACAAAAGATATTTATTTTTTTGTTCGGCTCTTTAATACATGTGTTACAATATCAGATTATCTAAATATTGAAAAAAATATTCATAAAATGTATCTCTAATTTACAAACCCCTGGATAACTCAAAACATAATTAAGATTTAAATTTACTACCGCGAAAGGAAGATAAAACGAGTTTCTGATGATTATTATGTTAAAGAAATCATTAAACAAATGCATTTATATAAATTACACTGTTAACGTATAATCGGCTAACAAATATTTTCTTCTGTAATTGTTGCTCAAATACTTTGGCTGCTAATTGAATTGCGGGTTTTGTGCCGGTTTACCGTTGATTACCTCGAAAAATCAAAACAAATCATGGAGCACGTGTTGAATAAGAGAGATGATAAACCAATATTTATTTATATTTCTCCAATTCTCTGGTAATTTAAACCTTTTTGGACCCATTGTTTAAACAAATTTAATAAACATGTGGTTGCCGATGATATCAGAAGTTAAAAGGTCATAACCTACATCAGCTCACTGTATGAATCGAAATATGCTGACAAGTGTTAGAGAAATTGACAACTTTCTCTACGCGGAAATAGTTTGACCTTCAAAATTTGTTGTTCCAAGTTGTTCCTGTTACATTTGAATATACATATCATTAAATTCAATGTTTTTTTAAATTCTTTATTAAACGTGGTCTTTTATTAATGTAAACTTCCATTTGATTTAGAGATAAATAAATGAAGTTTTTCCTCATAAATTTCGTTACTTTATAAAAAAAAATTCTACGCGGAAATAGTTTGAAATTCAGAATTTGTAGTTCAAGTTGTTTACTTTTACCTATGAATACATATTTCATTAAATGCAAAAATGTTTTTGATTAAAAGTTGTCTTTTTTGTTTGTTTGATTTCATTTGATCCAGAGATGCATAAATAAAGGTTTTGATTTATATGAAGCGTGCTTTGCACAGTTACATTCGTATCTGGAAGTATACACATAACAAACATAAAAATATAAAAACATCACAACTTTCTCAATAATAACGTTATAAACGTCTTTGTATAGGATCAACACACAGGTCTTTGAATCTCGTAAAGAACATATAGGTTGCACTTTGCAAATACAACTGTTTCACAAACCACGCCTCTTTTAGGGAGATATATACTATTCATAGATATTTTGATTTGTTTACGTACTGGTTCCCATATTTGATCTCTATGTTTCACCTCATAGAGACATAACTTTGGAATGTTACCAGTATAAATGCATATGGATAGCGGCAAAATTTAATTCTGAGGAGGACCAAAAGTGAAGGCAAGGGTAGTACAGAATTTAAGTATAAGTTCAAACTTTTGGAAGTTCGGGTCATATAAATGTTGAAAATATGCCGCACAGCCCTATATTTTGACCTTTGAAAAAAATTGTAGCACATATGAACTGATATAATTTTTTACGAAACTTCATAGTAAAAGTGGCACAGTTTTAGCCGTAAAAGGAGTTCCTATGGGAAATTCCATTATCTATATTTACAGAATTGCAACTTATAACAGTTTTACAGATTATTACTGACGTCTACTTATTGTGAATATTACAGATAATTGTAACGAAGGTAGGCAACTGACGTAAACTCCATTATCAGTTGGTACATATGGCGAATGGTGGAACTAACTCTGACATGTATTCCATTTGTAAATATTTAAACACACCTTTGGACCAATAAAATTTTAGACTTAACAACATACATTATTAATCAAGTTATGTGTAGAATGGACGTATAATATATCAAATACATTTGTCCTTAATTTCATGTTTTGTCCAAAAATTTAATTTTATATGATTAAGGTGATATGGTTTACTATTAGATTCCTAGAAAAATAAAGTCATCATAGATAAGATTCCTTCATTCAGAGAAGATGCGCTCAAGACACTACCCATGTATGTAATACTTGTAAAGGACGTAAGTGTAAGCGTCAATCACGGAACAATAAGGACTAATTTTAATGATAAATTTCACAATTAAGATGACTAGATAAAATTACAAAGGGGTGCCTTTGCTTTTATTGAAATTCAAATTGATGTATTGAAATAATTTAATTCAAAATTTTCTTTTAAACTATTTAAACTATCCCAAAGGGTACCTGGGAAATATAAATAATAGTCACTACAGGTCTTCTCCCGACCGGCAGTAAAACCCTTACCAAAGCTGGGCGTCCTTTTGGCTGTGAGGGATGTACAAGTTCGCAGCCACGCCCGTTCAAATCCAATGCCTCATGTAGAGAGAGAGTGCCACATTCTCTTCACGTTAAAAACCCTTGCTAAAATTCTTTACGGGGTCCTTAGGTGGCCTGTTGCAAGGCTAAATTTCTGCCCTAATCAGAATACCCTCATTTTCCAGTGGCAGTCTAAATTTCCACGATCTACGGCCTCTATTACAAGACCTATCTTTTTTATTTATTGTTAATTTGTTCTCGTCCTGAATATGCATGAAATATTTGCCAATGGACGTTACGCAACCAACTACCAATCAATCGATTATCTTTTAAATGACAAGACAAAAATTACTATAAATATGAAAAAAGGAGATGAGTGATATATCCAATGAGACAGCATTCAATCATCCAAATCAAAAACGAAACAAAAGTCACGTAGAGTTCAACGTGCGGTTAACCGACAGATTCCATATTCAAAAAATGATATAAAAAATCAACAATAAAAAAAACCCAATAAGATATGAAACTCTGGAGGATTCTGGAATCGGATCAGGCACACAGGTTTAAGGATACCCTCTTAATCCCAACCAGTTGTGTAATAAATAAAAAATAGTACAATAAATATATGTGGCGGTAAAACTCTTTAATATTTCTTCTTTATTTTTAGGAGTGTTGACAAATGCAAATATTTAATTTCTGCACTGTCCTGAGCTTTTGTATAATTTTGTTAAAAGA